GATTATTTCACATCCTCTCATGGCGTAAGTTACCGTTCGTACCCTGATTTTCCAACCTTCATTTCCAGCTCCAGATTCACAGACCCAACTGCACTGTGGACACCTTCACTCAAATGTCCTCCGGGCACCTGACTGTACCACCACTGAACACACGTGCACGTGCACCCTCACCCACTGTGTGCTCGCGCACCCGGCCTACTCTTCGGCCTGCTCTGTGCCCTATCCCAGCACACGCAGTTACCGTCCATCCACAGCACGAGCAAAACCTTTCGCGTCACCCTCGAGTCTTCCCCTCCTCCGCCAGTCACCGTGTTCCAAATGCCCTTCAAATTGGCCTCTTTAATAGCTCTCCACCTTTTGGCACTAGTCCACCCCTTTGCAACTTCAGCTGCCACCACCAGATGGTTCGCACTGCACCTCATCTGAGCCCTGTGGTAGCCAAATTCAATCTGATTTCTGCAGCCCACCTGAGGGACCCACCACAGGGCAAAGCTGACGACTGCTCTCTCCGCGTCCCTCCTCTGGGACTGGCTTCTCCGCTAAGGCTGGCCTGCATGTTCTCTCCCATAACAACTACACAGGGTCTGTCCTTCAGCCTCTATGGTAATTATTTACTTGTCTGTCTCCCTTCCTTCGTTCAACCAGTTATTAGCTCCTTATCAAAACCTTGTCATGCACAATGTGCAGTTAACCACGCTGTGAACCCGGCCTCCTGAGTGCGACTCGCACATTTGCTACCCCCTCCCCCTTTCCGAGCACAGTTTCTGGCACAGAACACTGCCTAATAAGTATCTGCTTAGTAAATAAATGAAAAAATGACTGCTATCTATGCAAGACTAAGTAATTACCCTCATCCCCTTTCCAATTTTGGGGTAAAATTCATGGAAACAAATTTTGTAAAAGTGTTCTTCAGGGACAATGTTTACAGAAAGTGTCTTTTTATTTCAAAAGGCAGAGATAGGTTATATCTAACTATTTCCAGGCTGAGAGAAGTCCAAGCCACTCACATTGCTCCAGGAAGACTGTGCCCTTAGCCAAATTACTGAAATCAGCCAAGCTCTTAAGGAATTTAGCATATAAATTAAAGACCTTCAACATTGCTCAAAGCTACAGAAACACACTTCAAGAGAACGTGAAACTGCCACCGGCTGAGCTGTGAGGGCTGCTGAAAGCAGAAGCAACCGAGGCCACAGAGCCACAGAGGCTGAGAGGAGCCCCCCACCAGGCCTCGGGGCATAAAATTTACCAATGGGAGTAAGGCCCAGTTTAATGTCAGGCAGCCAGTGGGGACGTGATCTTCCAAATTTGTAACATATCATTTCAGGCCACAAGTGGGGAGTCCTGGGTGAGCACCCTGATTTTCTGAAGCTCAGACTATATAAACATTGTAGTCTTAACTGGATCAGTAAAAAAAAAAAAATGTGGTAAAATATACATAATGTAGAACTGACCATTTTAACCATTTTTAAGAGTACGATTCAGGGTTGTTAAGCACATGCATACTGCTGTGCAGCCATCTCCACCACCATCTCCATTACCTCTACATCATCCCCAACTGAAGCCCTGTCCCCATTAAACCTATCTTCCCTGTACACCTCGCCAAAAACCTAACCCTACCCCTAGCCCTGGCCCCTGAACCTAACCCCTCACCGTCACCATCGACGTCACCCACATCTCACCGTAACCCTAAACCTCCATTTCGCCATCGCCCTAACATTAAACCCGGACCCTACCTCTAACCGTAATCCTGTCCTCCTGGTACACCTTACCAAAAACCTAACACTAACCCTAGCCCTGGCACCCCCTCACCCCACCTCCCCCACTCCCTGCCCCACCCTGCTGTGGCTTAAATTGTAATATTTCCAGAATATCTCGCCTGGCTTTAGTACATCTGCATATCAACAGGCGCTCAAGGGTGGAGAGAAGCATGGCTTTAGGGCATTTGCATCATTTCTCAGGGGAGGAAAGAAGCTCATCTCCATATCAGCAGGTAATTACATGGGCAACCGAGGGTGTGTCTGAGCCTGAGAGCTTAAGGGTGGGGGGCTGGCTTGCTGGCTGGCTTCTTCGGGGGCAGAGGAGAGAGATGGCCCTGGATTACAGTTTGTAAGCAATAAACAGGTTTTAAATTTTATTTCTCCCTTTGACTGATTTTGGTTTTGAGAGGTATTTTGCCCCGGGTTTTCCTTTCCCCGGACTTACACCTGCTCTGCGGTCTGTCTCTGGATCTGATGACTCTAGGGTCCAAAGTAAGTGGAAGCGTGCAGTGTTGGCCCTTTTGAGTCTGACTGACTTCACTCAGCATCGTGTCCTCAAGGTTCATCTATGTCACGGTGTGTCAGAGTCTCCCGCCTTCCTCGGGCTGAATGACACTCCATTGTCTGGAATAAGCACCTCCTGTTCATCCACTCGGGCCTGTCAGATTGCCGGGGGAAGGCTCGCCTGCTGTCACTCACGTGTGTGGGCGACACAGTCAGGCCTGACCAGGGCACACGGCCCCCGCCCACCGTGGACGCAGGGAGGCCACCTGGACATGTCCTCTCTGGCCCCAGACCACCCAGGAAAGCCTGGAAGGACCCGTGCTTGCAAGTCTTGACCGGAGCTTCACAGTTGTGTGAAGCATAGACAGTTATGAACGCCCTTTCCAGCCACCACCAAGGGACATGCTGACAGCGGGCCAGAGCCCCCTCCGGATGGTCTTCTGCTGAACCTGAGAAAGGCTATAGGTGCATCGGGAGCACGACCCCTCTGTGATCATGGAAAGCTCTGCGGGGTCACCACCACTTCCAACGATCCAAAGCTAAAATAACTGTCTTCTCTTCACATCAATGTCTCTTCTTAAACAGGGTCAGTCTGTCAGTTCTCACTGGTCAGTGGAAGAAGCCAGTACCTGGGGACTCACACCCTCCTCACCGCTGTAGGCCTCTCTGCTGGTTCTTTTCCTCTTCGGTCCCTTCTCCTCCCCCGCCCCCATTGCCCCCACAGGGTCTGTCTGTCCCAGATTTGCTATCCACTGGCCTCTGGGGAGGCTTGACACAGGTTGGAGGGCAGAGACAGGTGGGGACACCAGGTTTCTTTCCCTCTGCCTCTAATGGCATCTGAAATGGCCAGTGGCTGCTTCTCCTCCACGGTGCCAGCTTCCACCAGGCAACTTGCGTGTTCCCTGCTCCTGTGGTGGGGCCTGCTGACGCCACCTCCTCACTGTCCCTGCCGCCCTTGGGAAAGAGTGGCTTCCTGCTTTCAATAGGCTTTGGTTGCCTGGCACTCCCTTTGGGATTCTTCTATGTTCCATTATCTCTGTAATCGTCTCTGTTAAATGCCTAGGACAACAGAAACCTCCCCATGCAGCCAAGAGCACGGGGGCCTTCCTCCTAGTCCAGGGCCCTGTACTGGCCTCGTCTGGACTGCTCATGCACCTCCTGGCCTTCTGCCTCCACCAGACCCTCACCGTGGAGACAGCCCACGCCGCTGCTCCTAGACCCCCGGCCTCCCCTTCTCCATGCGCCAAGCCACGCTAATTTTCCCTTCCGGGATACTCTCCATTCACCTCTTATTTAAACCCTACGATTAGTTAGGCTCAGCTCCTTCACTGCTCTTATCAGACAACACAATTTCCCCTTTCCACCTCCCGCCATGTTGACTATTTGTTTCGCTCCTAATCTCCACCCAACCGACTTTTCCCCTGTGCTTAACTGTCACTGTGATTCTGTTTGCAGTGGGACTGTAAGCCCTAGAAGGCAGAAACGATACCTTGCATTTTTATCCTTCAGCCCTTAACTGCTGCTAAGCATACACCTAATAGGATCATTATTGAGTGAACAAGGACAATAGTATGTCCTCTGTGTGACAAATACATCTTTCTCCCCAAAGATAACAACTATTACAGTTGGATTGTATCCCCCAAAAGCTCTGAAGTCATAACCCCCCAGAGCTATGAATGTGATCTCTTGTAGAAATAAGGTCTTTACAGGTGTCAGCCAGTTAAGATGAGGTCACATTGGAGCAGGGTGGGCCCTGATTCAGGAGAAGTGGTGACTTTCTAAGAAGAGGATATTCTGGACACACAGACACAGAGGGAAGAGCATGTGAAGATGGAGGAAGAGACTGGGTGAAGATGCCACAAGCCAAGGGCCTGGGGCCACCAGAAGCTGGGAGAGGAAGAGAGGGTCCCCCAACCTCCAAACACCACCAGAGACTTTGGAGGGAACAGTCCTGCCAGTTGATTTCAGACTTCCAGCCTCTAGATCTGTGGGACAATAGCTTCCTGTGGTTTTTAAGCCACTGGTTTGTACCACTTTGTTACTGCAGCGCTGGGCAATATACAGCTGACTAAAATAGTTACATCCATAGAGAGAGACTTCAGTGTCCTTACAGGGTTCCTACGTCGTTGCTGGGCCCAGGCATAACACCAGGTGTCCGCGGGACCTCACGGAGCCAGGCAGGCACCTGTGGGCAGCGCCTCCACACTCAGTGCACAAGCGCAGGGCTGCAGGGCCCTGGCTGCACAGCCCCCCTCCAGTCACAGCCACAGATCCCGCCCCCTGAAGGATGCAGACGTCTGTGTCATCAAACAACCTGCTTTGCAAAAAGCTCACCTTTTCATGTTGCTTCCCAAGTTCAAATGATCTCAAACTTGAAATCTTGAAACATTAGAGTAAAATTTCTGTTTTTAACAACTTTTTTGCTTTGCCTATGACTTTTTACTTTAGCATCCCAATCAAGATAAATTCAAATAAAGCTTTTAAAAAATGACTTGAGTTTTAAAAAGAAGCCAAGAGAACTAAACACTGTCTCTGGTTATGTTCCAGATGTTACTGCTTTTTATTTGATTCCATTTGCCCACTGTGTCCTTGCCACATTTTTTTCTCAGCCTGCGGTTTATGAGAAAATAGGCCCAAAAGGTCAGGCGTGCACAGCTGCAGCTCCGGCTGTATACAGTCAGACTCCGCCCTCCCTCCCGGAGCCTGGCGGCGCCCCCCACAGGAGAGGCCCAGACTTACGGCTTTGGAGGTTGCGCAGGGCACCGAGGATGCTGAAGGAGGCCTGGCTGCACTCGGGAAGGAGGACGGGCAGTACCTCTGGCCCATGTCCGGAGGGGAAGAGGTGGCATAGACGCGGTTTTCCAGTCGCTCAGGCTCATGCTTATAGGACTCGAGAGGAAACGTGTGCTGCTTGGCCACTGGGGTGGGTGTCGATGGAGAGCAAGAGTGGCCTGAAGCTGTGGAGGAAACCACAGGGCGTGGTTAGAAGCCTGCCTGAGATGCAGGAAGGCAGAGAAGGGGGTCTTCCATTTCCAAGTGCCACAAAATGGCAAGAACCTAAATGATTAAATTCTGAATACTGGGGACAAGCTTCTCTAAACCCATTTCGAATCCCTTAGAATCAGATGTAAACAGATACCTCCCCCCGTGGGGAGGGGGGCTCGCGGCTCAGGAGCTGTCTCATGAAGACCTCTTACCCATGCATTCTCCCTCATTGTGTGTGTTTGATCCCTACAAAGCATGGTGCCGGAAGTACATGGAGTCAAACCCATATTACTTGAGATAAGATGTAGGAAAGTCCATAAAGTCTTCAGTAGAGACAAAGGTCAAGGCCACAGAAGTCACATGACAATGGACCCAAGGAACCAGCAAGCTCCTATCACTGTCACTGCCAAAACATGCACCACTGACATGGCCACTGTGAATTCACAGCAGCAAGGATTCGCCATGAAGGTGAACACTGGAGACATCAGGGAACAAGCAGGACACAAGGGGCCCTGGACAGCAGCCAGGAGGAAGCAGGTGGGGAGAAGGGGCTGAAGGACTGCGAGGGAACTGGGGACGTGAACCTGCCTGGGCTAAGAGGCTGTCCACTTCTACGGGGCTCGTGCACCTCAGGGGCCTGTCCGGGCAGGCGGTCATTACCACATCTTGCTGATCAAGCCATAAGATAGTTGTTGAGGATTGAACTGTGTCCCCTGAAGAACTATGTTGAAGGTCTAACCTTCACTACCTGTGAACATGGCCGTACTCGGAAAGAGGGTCTTTGTAGATGTCATCCAATTAAGATGAGGTCGCACTGGAGCACGGCGGGCTCTTAACCCAACGTGACTCATGTCCTTATGAGAGGAGGGAGACAGACACATACAGAGGAGACGGCCATGCGATGACAGGCAGAGACGGGGCGAGGCATCTACGAGCCCAGGAGCGCCAGGCGCTGCGGGCAGCCATCCTGGGCTAGAGGGGGCAAGGCAGGTTCTGTCCGGAGTCTCAGAGAAGCACGGCCCTGGCACCTTGGGCTCAGACTTGTGGCCTCTGTAACTGAGGGAGGGGAAGTTTCTGTTGCTTTGTGCCACCCGTGTGGTGGCACTCTGCACGGAGCTCTGGGAAATGGACGCAGCAGTGTCGCCTGATGCTGATTTGCTTCCCAAGAGAAGACGGATCTGGGTTTGTGTCTTCTCTCACACGTACAGGTAGCTAAATAAAATTTTTATTTCACATTTGTTATCTAAAAGTTTTTAATTATGCAAGTCAAAGCAGAGATGCCAGCAAATACGGCCCAAGGGCCACCCCCTTGCTATTTCTGACCTAGACACAGGCTGGTCAGCCTGCAGAGCCCGGGCCTGGGCCCCCCTTCTGTGCTCCTCTGCACCGCGCCCAGGCTCCCCTCCTCGTAGCCCTGTCCCCTCTTCTGCTTCCATCCTTGCTCCCCTGAGTGGCCTCCTGGGCCTCAGGGCCAACCCACCCAATCCCCTTCCCCTGACTCTGTGGCCCCTGGGCCTGCTTCCCCACACCCACAGGGCATGTTTCATCTGCACTACACATTACCACTGTTCACAAGAGAGCTAACTAAGACCGGGTAGGACAGGATGTAAGTCTCCCGTCCCCAACAAAATCCACTGTGTCTTTGGGGCAGGAGTCCTGCCCACACCCTCTGGGTCCCCGTGGCACCTGGTGCTATGCTGGGCAGGGGGGGAGGTGCCTAGGGAATGGCTGCCGCCCAGCAGGCAAGGAGAGAGGGGGGAAGTTGCAAGCAGGTTTGCTTCCTGTGTCCGGAGAGTGTGCGTGGGGATCATTGCCCAGAGACCCCCTTATCCCATAGAGCAGCGCCAGGCGGGACTGCCTGCCCTGAGCGCAGGCTGGCAGGAGACAGATGTCTGACACCCATGCTTTTGTAAGTCTCAAAACTGAAGACACGAAAGGCCACCAACAGCAAGGGCCCAAACTCTTTTCAAAACAAAGGTTTTCCTTGAAAAGGTGAGAAGCTAGGCATGCTGAGAGGTGGGCTGGGTGGGAGGCGAGCAGGAGGTCTGAGGGTGAGCAGCAATGCGGCAGATGGGTGGCTCAGCAGGCAGAGTGACAAGGGGGCGGCCTGGCCGGCTCTGGGCCCTTCTCCAGGCCAGGCCCAGGCCGTGGCCCCAGCGCACCCCGGAGAGGCCACAGACCGGTGAGGAATGAGGATGCCAGCCAAACCTCAGGAAGGGCGTGCCGCACCCTCCAGGGGGGCTCTGCGGGGACCAGGAGAGGGACATGTCATGCTGTTTTGTTTGCAGGGCCGGGTCACCTCCCAGGCCTCAGGCCCCCAGGGGTGGTGGTGGGTCCAGAGTGGGTGCAACGGCCTGATCCTCATATAGCGTGGCCTAGAGCAGGCTTGTCCCAGCATCGTGGTTGAGCAAGAAATTTTATGGTCTGTGCTCCCAGCTTTCGCCCCAGCCACCGAACACAGAGGCCAGTTGGGTGCTTTCCTGGGGCCTGCCCTACCTTCCGAGGGTGAGCGCTGGGATCTGACAGAAGGGGACAGTTTTGGCTCGGAAGCTTGTGCCACCAACCACATCCTAACACCTTGTGAGAGCCCCTTAGGCAAAGCCCCTCTGGGGGCCTGGGTTCTTCATGCAGAGGGAAGGGCTGGCCCCAGTGATCACCCCCCCATATCTACCCTGACACCGGGCCCAATGAAGGCGCCTCATCCCCTGCTTGCCTGGGGCCTTACCCCCAACCCAGCTCAGACTGTCTGGCTCAGGCCACACCCCCATGGGAATTTTTGGCAGCCCAGAGGAAATATGTACCTCTGTGGAGGCATTTTGGCAGTATCTGTCAAAACTACAAATGCACATGTTCCCTGGCCCGACAATTCAGCTTCTGGGAATTTCTTCCCCAGACACATTTGTATAATTGCTAAATGGAGAGTGAATGGGGTCATTCATTACTGCGGCGCTTTTAAAGGCAGGGACTGGAGACACAGATGTTCATCAATAGGAAGAGGTTAAATAAGTTATGGCGCCTGCACACGGCCGGCCATGATCCCCGTCGGAACACGAGAAGCCGCATTGTTCTTCATCTCCCAGATGGAGTGGAAAGTGGAAAGCAAACTGCAGAGCCATCTGTATAGAAGGATACCGTTTATAGTTTCACAAAAGGGGAAAAGAATGCATATGCATATATCCTGCCTGTCTGCATATGCTTACAGCATCTCTGGAAGGATCTGGAGACACTGGTTGTGTCCTGTGATGGGGACAAATGGCAGGAAGACATTTGTCGTACGCCCTTCTCTATTTTTCAACTTTTACATTAAGTGAATGTATGATCTCTTCAGAAAATCACTTTTTTCAGCCACTGTTCTGCTTTTGGGCCAAGAGGCTGGCTAACGGGATGTGAGCACCTCCCGCCGCCTGCCCAGAGCCCAGCCGCCTCAGCGCCAGCTCCAGGGAGGCCGTCCTCAGCCGGAGAAGCAGGAGGGCAGGGCCTGGCCCCCCTGCGCTCTCGTCCCTGCAGGCTGTCCCCACACGGGCACCAGAACCACCCTGTGCAGCCCCAGGGCAGAGGGAAGCGGACGCAGGAAGGAGGAGACACAGCAGCTCTCCGGCCTCCAGCGGTGGGAACCCCGCTTCTGGTGCCATGGCATGCTCCTCCAGGTCCCCACAGCTCCTCGCTCTGAGATCCCTCCAAACCCAAGGGTGCTTCCATGCCCTCCAGCCTGCTCCCTGCCCCTCCCAGAGTGGGTGATTCCTGTGGGGAAGCGCGCTGCTGTGATTCCCGAGGATGACCCTCCAGGGGAGGTGAGGGGTGGGGGGCAGGTAAGATGAAGTGCGGTTTAGGAGTGTGTGTGTGGTCCAGGGTGCAGAAACTTGGGAGCAGAGACATTACTCACCCTGGGTGCCTGAGTGAGGGAATGGCAGAGGCCCCACCAGAACTCCAGGGCCCTGACTCCAAACCCTGAATGCTTTTTTCTGTGATTACCAAAGAAAGAACAGACTTAAAATCACATTTGGGGTGCATGACAGACTCTTCCAGAAAGTAGGGTTTCACAGGCCAGCAGGAAGGTGAGTACTGGGTGCCCCAGGAATAAGAGGTGGGGGCTGGCTTCCCTGCAAGGTGGTAGTGGGGCTGGGCTTCCTGTAGGGGGCTGGCCTGGGCTGGGCAGCGCTGGGCTTCCTCCAAACATGTCTTCCCTTCCATGCCAGCCAGGACGAGCAGAGACAGGACAGACAGGGGCCTGGTACTGACCTCGGTGCTGCTTTGCCAATGGGAGAATCTGTCTTAGGAAAGGGGTGTGAGTCAGGCTGATCTTCCTAAACCTTTTTTGTTTAATACTGTTGTCACAATTCACAAATAATGAGGAAAATGGGGCAATGCTGACAGAGTCCTTATTACTTTTAAATAGACCAATTGTTTCTTAATCAGGGAATCTGACAAACTCAGGTCTCTCAGGAAAACCACATGTGTGACCAGCTAGCTGTCTGGGGCCAGGTGGGTGCAGGGGTTGAGGGAAGGGCAGGTTAGGGGTGAATCAGTGGGGTTGGGGAAAACGGGACAGAACCCCAATCCGCAATACATGCAGGAGGCACTGAGAGGCCAGCACCTACCAGCCCAGCAGGCGGGTTCAGAGGAGGGGTGGGCGGGGAGCTCCCAGACGCCCGGGGGAGCAGGGCTTTGGGAAACTAAGCCGCTCTGTCTTCAATCAGGGCGACTTCCCTATGGGCCCAGTAGGACTGGGCTGGAGCAACCGCAACCCCGGGGCACAGGCAAGTCTCCCCGTTTTGTTCTGCGAAGGCCACCTTCCCTCCTGCTTTTTAAGGACTTTGTTCAGGACTACTGTCAACCCCGGAGTGTGAACAATGCCTCTGATTCTCCCGGGGCAGCAGCCAGGACAAGTGAATAGGCTCAGTGAGGGAACACGAACGGCTCCTGGCAGCCACACGAGACACCAGACGAGTGGCTCCAGACACCGGGGAGCCAT